AAAATGTTAGTGTGGGACAAGGATTTAGCTCAGTGGTTTCGCCGCCTGCTGCACAAGTGCAAGAACCAGAGTTCAATTCCCAGTACCAAAAAGAAAAATTAAATAAAAAAAAATGTTAGTGCTTGTCATAGAGTTTGCAATATATATTTACAGCTTATCTGGACCACTAAGTCTAAGTTGCTAGTTTCAAATAACACTATACTGATTCTCTGCTAACAGTACCTTATAGCAGAGCATTCTCGATTCCCCCATGCTACTACCCCCTATGCCAGTGGTTTCAAACCTATGGCACTTGTGCTGCAGCAGGCTCTTTCTATTATTGAAAGCTATAAAAGTTTTGCCATCCCTGCTACTGTTGCTGTCACTGATTCCACTCATTCATAAATTATATGCACCCAATATATTGTTGCTACTATTACTTTGAGCAGCTATCTAATAGATTAAGAATGAAATGTTCTATTTTACCTTTCTTTATTCCTCTCCAATGCCTTTTCTTTCTCCCTTCCCTTGTTACGCTCCTCCTCTCCCCACCTTTTTTCCTCCCTCTCTCCTGTCTTTCTTCCTACCTTCCTTAATTCCTTCTTTCCTTTCTGCTTCCTTGGTCTCTTTCTTGTCATATTTGATTCCTATCTCTAAAGAACTTATTTGAACATTTCTTGTCTAGCATATCTGTTGGCATTACATTTCTTCAGTTGTTATCTGAAAAACTTTTTTTTGTCAGAAGGAAATTTTTGCTGTACAAAGAATGTTAACATTGTATAGATGGGTTGTTTCAACACCTTAAATATTGTACTGCATTCTCTTCTTGCTTATGTGATTTCTGAGAACGCTGGTGTAATTCTTAACTTTGTTGTTCAGTAGGTAAGGTCTTATCTCCCTGCGTTTTACAAGATTTTCTTTGTTTTTGATTTTTACACATTGAATTTGATATGTGTACTTATAAATTTTTTTGTATTTACCTTGCTTATTGTTGTAAAGATTCTTGAACTTGAGATTTGGTGTGTGTCATTAATTTTAGAAAATTCTGAGCTATTACTTCAGATTTTTTTTTTGTGTACCTCTCTTCTTCTAGAGTTCCCATTGTGGGCATGTTATGCCTTTTGTAATTGTCCCACAATTCTTGAATGTTCTGGGCTTTTAAAAAATTTTGTTTTCCCTTTGTCTTTCAGCCTAGGGAGTTTCTATTGTCTTATCATCCAGCTCACTGATCTTTTCCCCAGTCATTTCTAACCTGATCATCCTTCAAGGCATTCTTCATTTCTGCCACAATGTTTTTTGTATCTCCCATTTCCTTTTGATTCTTTGTTACAGTTTCCATTTCCTTGTGGTTATGTTACTGAACTGTTCTTTTTTATATGTTTTAATTTTAGGGTATAGTAGCTTTACAAAATGCTGGTTTTTATTGTGGGATTTTCATACAGGCATATAACATATTTTGATCATATCTAGCCCCCTATTACTCTGCCTCACACCTACTTCTTCCTCTTTATTCCCTTTCTCTGGTCAAGTAGTGTCCCTCCTGCTTTCATGTCCTTTTTAAAAAAAAAATCCATGTACTTATTTTCTGAGTCTGGCTTATTTCACTTAATGTGATGGTCTTTGTGTCCATCCATTTTCCCACAAATGACATAATTTTGTTTCTTCTATGGCTGAATAACACTCCATTGTGTGTACATATCATATTTTTTCAAACCATTGATCTGTTGATTTTCATCTAGACTGATTCCATATCTTGGCTATTTGGAATTTGTACCACAATAAACAAAGATATACAAGTATCTCTATAGCATACTGACTTTAATTCTTCTGTTACCCATATGTTCTTATATATTTTCTACTTTTTCAATTGGTTCTTGCTCTGATTCAACTCTACTCTGGTGGCAATTTGATTCTGGCACCATCTGTAATTCACAAGTTAATTGTTTAGCCCTCCACAAGACTGCGTCTTACTCTAGATGCCAGCAGCAAGTGCAGTCCCCATATTTCCCATGCTTCTGACAAGCTATAAATTTTGAAGTTCCAACAACCACTCCAATCTTGATAATTCACTTTAATGATTCACAGAACACATTAAAAATGCTGTACTGCTGGGGATTTAGCTCAGTGGTTCTGACTCCTGCAGCTTCCCAAAAATGCTGTTCTTACAGATACAGTTTTACTATGAAGGAAACACACAAGGTCTGGAATGGCCGGCATACTGCGCTCTTGTATCCTTTCTATAGAATCTCAGTGCAGCATCATCTGTGCACCGCAGTGTGCTCATGATTTCGGATGCTCCACTCGGTGTCCAGAGTTCTTGTATGGGCTGTCATCACACAGGCTTGACTGTGTAAACCACTGGCCATGTGACTGAGTTCAATCTTCAGTGCTTTCTCCATCCTGGAGGTCAGACTGGCCCAGGATTCCAGCCTTCTAATCAAGAGTTTGGTCTCTCTAGTGACCAGCCCTGATTCTGAAGCTAATTAGGCATCTACCATGAGTCATTTCATTAAGATCAACATTAACACAAACATGCCCATAACTCAGGAAGTTCCAAGAGATTTTGAAATTCTTTGCCAGGAATGGGATCAAAGACCAAATAAATTCTTTAGCATACCCTGAAACCTTTAATATATCAATCACAGTTTTTGTAAGCTTCTTATCTGACAATTTCAAAATCTGGGTTATATCTGAATCCAGTACAGATTCTCATTCTGTGTCTTCAGATCTTCTTGCCTTCAGTATATCCAAAATTTTGTTTTTGGACCCTGAGGCAGTCAGACTATCAGTATAAGGATGGTATTAGTCTGGCCTGGACCTGGATGTTTCCTGTTTAAGGTTTATTATAACTGTGCACCAAAGATTCCATTTTTCTCTAATTTCCCATTGTTTGCCACTTCCATGCTGTCTCCAAGTCTCCTAAGAACCTCTTCTTAAATAGAATGTCTCTCTTAGGTGTCTCATTTGTAACCCACTGTTTTTATATAGGAGCTCTGTCAGTGTGGGGATAAGATTTTGAGGAAGGGAAGCATTCCACCTTAAAATTATATATCAGTTTTTTTAATGGACTTGAGTTCCCGAGTTGTAGCCATCAGTAACTTTTCTCAACTTTTTTTTCCTATTATGTGGGACAGAAAATCTAGAATGACTAACAATGTCTAGTTGCTCTTCCTCTTCATCAGATAAGGCTGTAGCAAAATAGCTTCCCTTGAGCACAATCTCATTAGAGAAAGTAGAACTGTCTGGGCTTATTTCAAAGTGGTTACTTCTGTTCTTCCCTGCTCACAGAAGAGAAGGTTGTCTCTCATATTTTACTCACCCCTGGTGAGTCTTCTGAAGGCCAAACCCACACCAGTATAGGAGGGCCCCTAAAACTGGGTACAGTGGATTTTAACTCTGGAGTTAGTCTGCAGTCAGCTTTCAGCAGTTCATCAGTTGCTATTTGTTCCTACCAGTTTCTATCTCCATATGTCTCTGGTCTTGGTAAACTGTGATTCTCTATATTTGCATATCTGGTTTTTGCTGTGGCAGTTTGTGATGTGACCTCAGTGCTCTTGCAGATCTAATTAAAGTTGCTGATTTTTAGTTTGTTCCGCTGTTTAGGTATAGTCAGAACAGGAAAGATAATTTCAGAGCTCTTTGTGTGTCAGAGCTAATCAGGAGGCATGACCAGTATGCAACTAGAAGCAGAGGTCTGAAATCCATATGTACTTAGGCTGTGGCCCACAGGGACAGGCATATTGATTACTTCCAGTGGTCACTGACTCCATAAAACCAGCTTTTGAACTAAACTGCATTCTACAAACGTACTACTTGCTAGGTTACTGGTCAATTAAATGCAGTCTTCAAAAGAAAGACCTTTTAATGAGATTTGGCTTTGTGATTTGAACTGGCTTTTTTGTTTCGACTCTGTCCAATCCCAGAGGCCTTTTCAGCTAGTGAATGGGTTTCTCATATGTTCTTTGCATCACTATTACTCAATGTATTTTAGAACATGTTTTTTCTGGCTTGTAAGCATCTTCAACCCAACTTCTGAGTTTTCAGCTCTGTGGATTTAAATCAGAAACATTTTAGTAAGTCTGAGCCCTAGAGATCCACTACTAATAAGACTATCACTAGGATGAATGGATGAAGGGATGTGTGGCTGTGTGTGTGTGTTCAAAGCTGTATCAGTGATTTTATATATATATACCTACGTTATAAATTTATGTATCTGATTTCTATGCTAGGTCTAGTAATATATATACATATATACACTTATCTAAATGTTGTTGAACAATTATGTAATAAGAATTAATACCTATCTTTGTAAGCAGATTTATAAACTTTGGACAAAAGATTTGTAATTTCCTAACCTGCATTGTTATATTCAGAAATTTGTAATAAAAGTGTCTAACATTTCTTTTCATAAAATATATAACAGTTTAGAAAAATAGTTATTTTAAGGCATATGTGGAGCAAACTGACACATTCATCTACAAAAGTCACAAGAAGTTCATGAGAAACAAAAAGATTGAGTTGTCAGTATTCATAGTGCTTCTCCCTGTTCATTTATTACTTTGTGCACCAGCATATTCTGGTAAATGCTTAATAACTAGTTCTCCCAAAAGAAATTCCCCAAGTGTGGAATTTATTAACTTCTTTAGTGCAAATACCCCCATAATGGTCAATTCCAGGGCCACGTAACACTGAGTAGCAGAGACATACACTAATCAGATCTCATTAGGTCATAAGGACTGATCGGAGCATTTGCTGCCTGTAAACAGGAGACAAAGGATTGTTAGGGGCATCATGACTGTTTGAGAGTGTTCACATCTTACAAAGATGAGGGGAAAGTCAGAGGTTGGGGCTGATGAGGCTTCTCAAAGCTTTTTCATGGAGATTTTGCTGGCTTCTGAGTGATGATGTGGGCTTTAAAAATATATGGACCATTTGATTTTCAGATACCTAGGAAATCAAGGTGACATTTGTATTATCATGCTTTTTGTGTGTCAAGTAGGAAAAAAATTGTCAGTTGGGAAATAATGCTGTTTTTTATTCCTTAGCTTTTAGAGTTTAAATATAATGACTTTAGTAATAATCCTACTAATAACTATATGTGTCTTGGTAAGATATACTATTTTTTCCACAGTATTGACCATTTAATCATTTGAAGGTGTTATGTGAAGAGAATATGATGACTCTGAGAATGTTGCTGGCACTGAAGTTTTGATGGGATCCAAAGAGTGTTAACAGTTCCCTAATGATGAAAGTGGACCAAGGTTATTTGTTGGTATCTTGATAGAACAGACTGTGTCCTTAAATGTATTTATCACATGGATCTACTTAGGTTCCAGTTAAGACATCACTGTGTACATACATGTTTATTAATGGAGCTTTCCATGTATCCCGGCAAGTGATAAGGAAGGATAGATCACACCCTTGACTAACACTGAGAAACCATGAAATTAGAACTGTGACACTGGCACTTGTGTTCTCAAGTCTTTTGCTCTCCCATCAAGCTCTTTCCAAGTGCATGGAGATGAGCTGTTGTTACATTTCTCATTAAAGATCTTGTTTCCAGACATCAAGGTAATTAATGATACTGTTGAAATTCTACTGAAATTAGCTTTGGTATGTGTGTGGATGAAACAATGGTCAACTTAAGTGGGAACACTCAGCTTAACTGAGGGTGATTCTGGGTGTGGGTGACCCACCTAAGGATTGTTGCCAGAACTGCATAAAAGGAGGATAGGAGGGGAGGAATGCTGGCTGCTGATTTCCCAGGAGAAGCTCTGTTGGAGCTGGAACTCAGTGGCTTTTCTTGCTGTTGCTCCCTCAGTGGGTGGGTGGGGGTGCTGGTCTTCGCCTTTGTCTTGAGCGTCTCTCCCTGGCTCCAGTGTTCTGGCACAGATTGTTCACCCTGCCGGCATAGACTTTTGAGCTTCTACCACTGGCCCTTGGGCATTTTGGTGCAGATTCTTGACATGAACTTGCATGAGACGTTGCTGAGGGCTGTAGGCCTCTGGCTGGACTCATGTGGAATATTATGTGGAAAGATCTATTGCACTCTTCTGTGTTTGACTTTTTGGGAGAATATTGTAAGACAGTCCTATAAATTTGTATATCCTGTGGTAAATGTTTCCTTGGAAATACTGACTAGAACAGTATGTTTATAGGTAAAAAATAAATTTGTAACAGTAAACATGGATTTTTCTTTATTTGCAGGTATAGACATGCAATAAGATGTGCACCAAACACTGGGATTTTTAGATTTCTGTCAAGACCTTATAGTAACCCTTTCAACTGTTGGTCAGCACAGCATGTAGCTAGGTGGTTTCATGTAGGTTCTGAAGTAGGCCCAAACCACAGCACAGCTTGGCAATCTTACTGGTTTTACCTTCTCAACTATTCTTAAAGATGTGTTTTCTAAAGCCTTTGCAGATTTCTATCATGAGATCACAGTTAATCTAACATCAGCCTTTAATGGCAGACATTGCTGTTATGCAAACACTTGCTGATGTAGACCAAAACTAAAGCACAGACCACCTGATCTTCAGATCATATGAGATAAGTGGTTATGGTTTCTCTACCACTTGCCATCATTTCTTTGCCAGCATTCAGGTGAGGAATAATACCCGTAGGAACACTTGAAACCATGCAGTTTCTTTTCTGTATTTCAGAGGGAATGTGTTACCCTGTAAGGAGGTTGCACATATCCGAATTTATCACATAGTCCCAACTATAGTAATCATAGGAACTAGGCAGATATTCAACGAAGAAATGTTTTCTTATCTGACATTATCCTTGACCTTGGAGAACCACAAGAATCCAAGTAGAGTCCTGTGATCATGGATGTAATAGAAGCTATTCAACAGTTCCTGGTAGGTTGTGTCTTGATTCCTGTCAAGGGTTAACAGTGAACTTAAAAAGTTCATTATCAGGAAATATTTCGGTATTAGAGTAAATATTTTCATGTACAGCACATGCCAGAACGACCATTAGATCATCAAATATCTGGGTCCGTGTTGTTTGTTTCCCTACAATTTTTATCATATGATTAAAAAAATGTAAGTATGTAGAAAAGGAACGCAGTATTTCATATTCTAGAAACCATATTATTGCATTATCTTATATTTAGAGAGAATTGACCCTGGAAATTTCAAATGACTTTCATGTACTCAGGTTATTATTATGCATTTATGCATCATGGTGGTTAACAAGTTAAATATTAGCAGTCATGAGCTAATGAGGTTTGGAACAATGATGTTCATCATAAAATCAAGAATACAAGTAGAGTTGATGAGTCCAGGTAGAAATGAGATCTTGCAATAATGACAATAAAGAAAGTTATTTGAAAGGTCCCAGTAGAAAATTAACATATACTTGTCACCCATGTTTGTACTTTTCTACGCAGATACGGTGGTAAGTCTCATGATGACCAACAGTGGCATGTTGTATCCATGGCCATGATGATCAACGGATATAGTAAGTGTGGGTTTCTTATGTTCATTTTGGCATGTTTCCTGTACATATTTAGTAAAGGAATGATTCTGTTTACCACTGCTAGTAACAAGTAGCTTATATAAAGTTCTGATAAACTCTGAATTTAATCCTAGGAGGTGTGGAGGCATATGCAGGGATCCATGTGAGTTATTCAACTGATCCACATCACAGTATTGACCATAATTTTTTCTACAGGTAGCTAGCCAAGAGAAAATGGTGTGAAGAACAACATCTCTGACCTTGAAGTTCTAAAGATCTAAGTACTTCAGTTGGTTTCCCTGATGATGGAGGTGACCAAAAATTTAAAGTTGTCCTTTTTTTCTCCCCTCAGGTGAAAGATGATGCATCCTGAACACACATTACAAAGTGTTGTCTAAGATTCCAACAGTTATTAAATTATAGTGATTGAACTTAACAATGGTAATTTATGAAATGTTATGACTAACCTGGTAAGAAATTGTCCCTACCAAGATGCCAACAAATAACCTTCAGATTTCTTGGTAAAGTGGATGGGATATCTAACATAATGTTACCCTGGCTTTTTTGGCAGGTATTCCATTAAGTTTTATCCTAGTGTACAGGTTTGTTGACTTTAAATCATTAGAGGCATTTATTTTTTTGTATTTATATCATGAATGATGCTTTTGAACTCCTGTGGTAACCTCTACTTAGAACACAAGTAAAAATATGATTTGTCAGTAATGCTTTTTATAAATATGAGCTTGTACTATGGATTTATTTAGAGATTGTGATAGGTTACTGTATAGGGATGCAGGTCATTGACCATATTCCCTATCCCCTACTACTGACCATGGGAATTTTGCTAGTGTTTCTTCCAAAGAAGATGGTATTTCTTAGTAGGCTTTTACTTCAGTGTTAAGCTTTAGCCATGTAATTGTGATAAGGCTATGATGCAATTTTTCTTTTCCTGGTCACTAATTGCAATCTTATCGTCTATATCTGAAATTCTGTCCTCACATTGGCTCATTCTGCTGTGTAGACTTTCAGTGGAGTTTTTCATGTCCTCGAAATCTATTTGCATTTCTTTTATGGATTCCATTTGTTTCTTATGTTGGGATTCCATCATGTTCCTCAGCTCCTCTCTAGATTTATCATGTCTTGCACTAGGGGCACAATTTCTCCTATCTGAGAAAGTATTTCTGATTTCATTTTTTCCAGATCCCCTTTTGTTGCCAGTTCAGTGGGTCCAGGTGGTTGAGTATCAGAGTGTTCCATCTCATTTCCCTTTGAGGTTGTTGTAGGTGATCTGGAAGTCTGGTTTTGAGACTTATTTATGTATTTTCTCATTTCGACTGGGGCGGGGGGCTGTTAGCTCCTGCACGGATTACCTCCTCTGAGGTGGGTGAGGTGGGCCAGGGGCTGCAAGCAGCAGTAGAGATGGTGACCCAAAAGCCCTTTCCTGTGGGCTGGGAGCAGCCGGAGGGATGGTGGCCGGGAAACCCCTTCCTCTGGACCAGAAGCAATGGGATGGTGGTCAGAAGCCCCTCCCTCTGGGCCCGGAACAGTAGGACTCATTACCTTGGTCTGGTGGTCTGGTGTCCTCTGCGTCTTTGTAGTGTGGAGTCAGGTGGCTGCCTGTCTGCAGCGGGGTGATTCGGAGTGTGTTCCGCTCTACTGGGGACCTCGTTAGGGTGTGGGCAGGCCTACTTGTCTGCAGCGAGGTGATTCAGCGTCTTCTGCGTGACTCAGGACCTCGGTAGGGCGTGCACAGACCTGCCTGTCTGCTCCCTGCTGTTTTTAATCTGTGTGACAGTTAGTGTAAAACACGAGTCTTCAAAATGGATATTGGTAAGGATCATCTTTTCAGATAGGATGATTGGGACCTCAGGTGGTTTCTATGGTGGCACTCACGTGTAACTTGAGGCAGAGATTCTTGTGAATATCCAGGTGTCTGCCATTACAAGCATTTACCCTTGCAGTTTGATAGGTTTATTGTCAAGGGAACAAGATTTCTCTTACCAAGCTTTGTCCCTGGAGCTTCCCAAGAAGCCAGATAATGAAGAAAGAAACACTAATGTGTTTCCACTGAGAAACACAATGAACCTGTGTGGGTGATTGCCCCATTGATTATCCCAAAGCAGTCTGTAAGCAGTGCAGGCGGTAAGGGTGAACTCAACTGGCTTGTTGATAGAAGTGAGTCTGGCAAAGCCTATGTGCTGAGGTCAGAGTGACTTGCACCCAAATTCTGTTCAAAGAGTTAAAACTTTCTTTACTAAAATTAACCATAACCGATATTTTGTCTGTTTCGCTCCCATTTGAAGAATGCTTTGTCTTTTCCTTTATAAGCCTCACTTGCATCAGTAACGTGTCCATAGCAACTGTACATAGTCCCTTCATGTAGCCCCTTTACCTCAGTCTATGATGTCACCAATAAATATCGACAGCTCTGGGTGTTCAAGATCTTTGCTTGTTCAAGCCTCTGACTGCTCAAGCACTTGCCATCCTGGCTCTCTGCATCTCTTTAACTCTGTCTCTGTGTCTTTCTTCTTGCCAGGTGTCATAGCCCTGAGAAGGAGATTGGGGCCCACTGCAGGGAACTCTGATAACCCTGCCATTCTCACAGGTGCTGGGTCAAAGGATGTAGACAAAAGCAGTGTTCTGCATGGGAGTTTCATAGGGCACCTGAGGAGGTGTATGAAAAATCATTGTGGATCCCCACAGACATCAATTAAGTGTGGTTTTGGTCCCAGGCAACCAGTGAGGTCTGCCCTTTCACGTTCATGTGTTAAGTGAGCAAACTGTTCCTCGGGATTCCTAGCTCCCTACTTGATGGAGTCCCCTGAGATGCTGAGATCCTCAGTCTGCGAGGGGACACTTGGCATGGGTGAATTCAGGTGGCTGCCAGGATGGTGAGCTCTAAAGAGTGATTGTGTGCAGGTTTTGTGCTTGTTTCACCCCTGCCCGGGGATTGGGAAGCATAGTGTTTTCAGGTGCTCACTTTGATACTCGGCACAGGACTGTTTTTGCCCATAACTCCAGCATCCGTATAGGTCTCCGAGGTCCCTCATTGACTTTGGGGCACCAAAGTGCTCATTGGCTCTACACCAACATTCTCTTCATTGTTTTTGCAGATTGCCTTCAAACAAGTATGACAAATGCCAAGAAGTCTGTGGCCAGAATCTCACGCAAATGTCAGATAATAATTATGTTGCTGCTACATTGTTGGTGACTGATCATCTACATCCATGTGGATGACAAGAGTGTATACATTTTGAAGTATTCCCATTTCCTGGATGTACATTCTTTGAAAGTCTTGGGTAGTTTAAGTTTCAGGATGGGGTCACATTCACCCTCAGGACCTCATTTTCTGGTACATATTTGACTGCTAGTGGCGAAGCTGTGATATTTCCCCCTCTATTTGGCTAGAGTGTTCACTGCCTTCTTGCTATTGTAAGGGGTCACACATTGCTATTGAATCCCTGCAGACTGTCATGCATTTCATACTGGTCCAAGTAGAGGAGTATGTGTGTAACAAGTGCTTCCACGAGGCAGGAATTTTAGCAGTTTGGCAAGTATCTTCTTGAGAGTGTCCATTACCTGTTGCCTGACTGGTCCATGTGCGCGTAGGAGGAGTCTGGCAATGGTGATGGACCCCAAGTGATAGGACAAGGTGGAGATTGTTCAAGGAGACACTGAGGGGAACAATAAAGGATAGAATTTCTTGGATGTCTTTTCCGGTGTGAGGCCTGGAACCAACGTGAGCCATGAGAGGCCATCCCATTGAACATTACCAGTTTCCATGCAAATGCATGTGTGGCCCTCCATTGTAAAATCACACAGTGATCTACCTGGACTTTGGTAATGAACGTATGGTTCCTATGTGTTGTGGCCATGTTTGGTGCACAGCCTGAGGAGATCCTGAATGAGGGACTAAGTCAATCCAGTGACCAAGAGTGTGCCATTACTGTGGGTTTCAGAGCGTCATGTTAAGGGAATTTAGCTGTGCTGATATTGCTTTTTTCTTGCCTTAATGACATTATGGTGGACCAGCCAGCTCAATAGGAAGCACAAAAATCTTGACCTGACCAGTTGTTAAACATGAGTTTTTTGGGATGATAGTGTGTTCCCCTCAAATTGGTTGTAGTGTCACAGTGGAGTGAGAGCCTTTCTGCCAGTGGTGATAGATGGGAAAGAACTAGCTGTTTTTGCTCATGTAGTGGATGCTGAGTTGCATGGTGTTTGCATGGTAATGTTGGACTTCTCTTCAGGTAGGTATACATAGCAATGAAGCAGACTTTTTGAGTGGATAGTGCAGGTGATTAGGTAAGTCCTAACTTGGACAGAGTCTGGTTCTTGGGGCCTGGTGGTCCTTAGTGAAATCAAGGAGCCTCTGCCTAACTTGGTGTTGCCATGTTTTGTCACCAGGTGGTCTGTGAAGCTCCTGGCTGGTGGTCAAGTCTTCTGAGATTTGCCACCTTCACCCATGTGACCCCTTCTCCTATTCCCATGAACACTGGACCTGGGCCCTTGGGCAGCCATGTCTTCTCCTTGCTGTTTGTGACAGTGAAGGTGAAACAATTGATTCTTCCCAGTGTCTACAGGTAAGCATCGCATTTTCATGTAGGATGGTGGCCCAGTAAGTGATTTTCCATTCTTGCTGTTGTATATGAAGGGGCAGAGCTTCTTGTTAATATACAGTTTTCCACCAGCATGGATATTAACCCTTGAACTGCAGCAGATTTCCATTTTAGGGAGAAAGATTTCTCTTGCCTGGCTTTCTCTGTGGAGTTCTTCAAGGTCCCAGGTTAACATAAATGGGCTCGCCAAACATAGTGACCACCACAATTATCACGTGCAGGTACAAGGAGACAAGGACTGAGTCAATATTTGCAATGTGTTTTTCACAGAGATCCTGATGTCACAGTGAAGCCTACATCATACTCATTCAGATTCCTACAGACTTCTAGCTGGTAAGTGTGGCCTTGTAGCTCTCAACTCCTCCACACGCACAGGGAGCTGA